ACGTGGCCACCAGCGATAACGCTAGAATATTCGGCCGCACATGCATAAATGCCGACGCACTCCACCGCTAGTCAGTTAATCGACGGCCGACGCTCTGAAGCTTCGGGAGTGTAGAAGATCGCTTTGTCAAGATTGCGAGCGCAACGCGAACATTGCAGATTATTTTGGAACCTACGTGGCCACCAGCGATAACGCTAGAATATTCGGCAGCACATGCATAAATGCCGACGCACTCCACCGCTAGTCAGTTGATCGACGGCCGACGCTCTGTTCGCCGCTATCGGTGCCAGCTGGTGAGCATCGCTGTAATTGGACTTACCGTTTGCCAGTCACAGGTTCGGTCAAATAAACCGTTTCGTTTTGGACAACTCGTCTCTGCCTTCGTCGACGTCAAGCACGACGCCCTGACAATTTTCGCAAGCCAGCCAATACAAACAAGTATATTAATAAAAAAATGCAGTACATACTGTGTTATCAGACTTATGATTGAGTGCTAGGCGTATTTTGCAACATTTCTAGTAAGAGCCATTAACTGCGCGCTGTTCGGCTGTAAGTCGGCCAAGAGCATTCTGTACGCGCATGCACCAAGGAAAAGAAGAATAATAGAATGCGCTATTGTTGCACGAGTATTATTGGAGATTGAAGTGCACTTTTTCTTTCTTGCAGTTCGTCCCTTCTTTGGTTTGTATGTACATCGATAGCACGTATCTTCACAAAAAATCTTCAAACGATTGATGGCAAGAAAGGCAGATATAACGGCGGTTGCTAAGCAATCTCAAAAAAAAAAGAAAAGCAGGCTGGTCGTTTCGAGCCATATCGCCTTCTGAGTCAACTGGCATTCGTCCTGCTGACTGAGACAAACGTCGTCGATTAACACTTGAAATAATATCCTAGAAGTTTTATACCAAACGGGCTTCCTTCACTTTTCTACTTGGAAGGTAGCGCGTGATTGGGCGAGAGCCGATCACAGAAGCAAACGAGCGCAGAGCGACTGGCCTGTGGCATCAAGTTTTTTTTTTTTTCAACCAGACTCACTCGGAATTAACCTCACGGATATTTTGCTTACCAGGACTCACTAAGACTCACGTATCGATCTGAGTCCGAATGAGTCGACGCATGAGTCCTCTTTAACACCAATATCTCACGTAATCAGTGTCCTTGTTGGCGCCTTTTGATAATAGTGATTCCGAATGCTAGTTATGAATGGTTACAAATCGCTGAAGATATTTTTTTCTTGATAGAGATGACAGTATAAGATATATTTATCAAAAACCTCAATCCCTGGATGACTGGCAAAAGGAAGAGGGTATTTAAGTGATCCCCGTTCCCCCCTCCCACAAAATTGACGCCTCTGATCAATAAATATTGAAATTCTGTATGAACGACAATGCCTAGGTATACGCATACAAACGTGAATCCAGGCAAACCTGATAGTGACGCGGAAGACGAGCTACAGGTAGGATCATAGGTCGACGGGAGAAAAAAAAAAGGTGAACTCACTCAGACTCGCTCTAGCAATATATCTTGCCCTTTGGGATCACCCGTATTCACTCACACTCAGACTCACGGCTCCATCTGAGTCTGAGTGAGCCGACTCATTAGTATGCCGACATACGCAAGTTCGCGTCCATTGAAATGCGACCGCCGCAGCGCAGGATTCGATCCCGCGACCTTCTGGCTAGCAGTTGAGCACACCGCTAGACCATTCATCGAACTTGTTTACAGCGCAACACCAGACACAAGGAAGGAGCAAAAGAGAAAGAAAATACGGCGCCACATGTTTACGATGAATCCCAATCAACTGGCCCAACTTACCGTCTTACTGCGCTAGATAATATTTGAATATTTTATGTGGCCATTTCACCCTCTTTTTTTATATTGCAAGTTTCAACTCTACACACCTCTCTTGAACACTTCGATTAGAAAAAAAAGAGCAGTCTTTGGTATGCCGATATAGAGGGGCTTTCTTCTTCAGACCATCAGTTCGTCTCGCACTCTGAAAACACGTGGGTTGTAAGTGGACCATGTCTCATAAGGCGGCCTGCCGCCGACCTTGATCATCCCGGGCGTATTGCAATACGTGGTCGGCTAATACAAAGGAGGGAACGGCCCGACCTGGCGGTTTCCTATTCTTCACAGCGGGCTCAAACGCGCAATTGACGGCAGCAACGTACCCTCTGAAAGGAGAAGCGAGCGGTGGCCCCACGAGGTCGGCTGTTGCGCGGAAAGGCACGAAAGGATATGCCGCTGTCTTGCCTTCCCCATCTCTTATCGCAACCGAGAGACCTTGAAATCTTCTCTCGAAGAGAATTAGCGGGACAGATAGGCGTCTGAATGCGCTCCGGGGAGAACGTGATAGTTGAGAATGGTAGAACGGTGCGAAGCTACGAATCGTTCCTTGCAAGGACAGCAGTAAGAGACGTCTCTCTTCATCCCCTATCTCCCTTCCTCCCAGCTTTAAGTTGAGATAATCGCTCGCTGTGTCATTTAGTGACTAACTTGCCCGTTTGCGGCGTGTCCCACAATCTGGACGGGTTGTGTAAAGCGCCAGTCTCCTCTTGCCGAAACCTCATTCGGACTGCGCGAGCCCGACCAGTCCCGTCGCGACTCGGGATGAACGACCGCTCAGTTCCCAACAACCCGCACGGAGTGCTGCAGGACGAAGTGATTCGCCTGTTCTACACCCCGCGACCGCGGGTCGTAGGTTAGTACGAGTCACTGCTTCGGTGCTTATGCTATAGCCTTCCATTCGGACAACCACGTGAAGCGGATGTATTTGCATGTGAAGCCTTTCTTATGACGTGTTGTTTTAACGTCCAAAGGGGATTGAAGCGTATTTTTTTTTCTTTTAATGGCAGGAGGATCGTGTACTGTGCAATGTCAGTGCGACTTAAACAACGCCAGATGGCCAACATTTCGGGAGGCCTCCACTATACGGTGTCTCTCATAATGATATTGCCACTAGTACAAGTTATGAAAGTATTATTTCCACAGATGCTGGTAGGCTTGTATGTGCCGCTGTTCAGAAGAGGACGAAGATGCGCGTGCAGAGTCGTATTGCCGTTGTTCGAATCAGTTTGACGTCCTTGTGTGCCATTATCTACAGGTTACAGTTACGGTGTAACGTGACAATATCGTGGTTTTGAGACGTAGAACCCAACATCCTATTTTTATATGGGATCTTTTTTTTAGGCCTGTAGCTGAAACGCGCGTATCTACACGCTTAGTAAAAACTAGTTCGGAAGTTAGCGCGTGAATTTAGCGCTTCATTTCTGGCAGGCACGGTTAGAAGGCGCATAGCCAGAATTTTCTTTTACTATAATGATTTTATTGGAAAGGGGGGGGGGGGGGCTCCTTGATTTCGTGGAAGGCATTTCCCGCTTTCCATGCCATCGTAAAAAAAAAAAATCGTAAGAGGGGGGATAGGCCCGGTGTGCCACCCCCTGGCTACGCCCCTGCAAAATGTTGCATGCAGGGGCGTGTATCCGGAATTTTTTTTTAGAGGGTATGGGTGGAAGTTCAACTCACGGTTCAATCACTTGTCGTGTGTCCGTGCGCGTTCTATGTGCGGGTGTACGTGCATATTTACATTAATCTCAATAGTTTACACACCTACCCCTACCCCCGGATATGTAAATGGTTGTATAATTGAAAGTGTCACGTCTGTGACGTCATAAGTCGAAACTTTTCGCGGGATAATGAACACGCAGGACACAACGCTGACTGTAGCGCGGCATGTGGGTTCACTGTCACGTTTTTTTTTTTTTTTTTTTGCGGTCACGGCTTTATCACAATATTTGTGAATCAACTCGCTTGCCTAAGAGCCTTCGTGTCTTCCTATATATGTGTAGGCAGCCCAATGCCCTGCATGAGGTCAATTTTTCTGTGACGTGGGTATAGAGGGAACAGAAACTTGCTTTTATATAGACTTCCATTCTCCCAGCGGGGTGCAATATATATGCCGAGGAGTTCGCAAATGCATCTTTTGTTTGTTGCAAGCGTAAATGTGCCCAATTTTGCTGTGAAAACAGCTCGAAGCCGTGATTGTGGCTCTGCCATCGTCTTATACCATCTCGCCAGCGGCATCGAATGCCGACCGGCCACGGTGACCGCGTTTTGACGGATGTGAGATGCTATACAGGCCATGTGATTAATTATATGTACAGGTAGCCCGTTAGGGAACTCCAGATGGTCGAAAATCTGCGGAGACATGCACTACGGCGTCTCTCATAACCATATCGTGGCTTCGGGTCGTAACCCCCAAAATTATGACGTTAATGTATATTTCGCGTTTATACCTTACGTGCGCTATACATTGACGTAAAACCCGGCAGCTGCAGCTTTCTCCCCCACATAGACAACAGAGTGCAAAGTAATATTTATTTATTTATTAACTTGTTTATTTTTGCTAATAGGCGATGTTGCGTTATTGGAATCAATTCGCACGTACAACTAAACTCCTCTGTTCTTTCGATGAGTTTGACGAAAAAACATAATGGAGGAAATGAAGCACACCGACCAAAGTACGATACGCCAAGTGTCATTTGATTTGCAGATTTGAAGTAAGTCGAAACGACACGAGATTAATGAGAACAAACAGTCTGTCTGTTCTCATTATTATTATGCAAATAACAGAAATGAAATGATTTATCTCTTTTCACAAACGAATACAGCATTTAACAGGTCAATGGCAGGCCAGAAGCATCACCGCAAACTCATTTAACACTGTGAATGGGTGCGGCTTCGCATAATTGTTACGACAGATATGACAAAGATCTTTTTTTTTTTCCTTTAAATAATGAGGTTGAGGATTCGTACTTCGCAGTGAAGGGTTTAATTTTCACTCGTGCCTTGACTTTAGCCACCAATCAGATAACCTCCTTCTAGTTAAGTCTACCCGCTTACTATTTTGGCTGGAATAAACCATTCACGACGCCCCCTATGCGCAGGTTTTTTCGCCGACATTCCTGCCGACCAGCGACACAAGTATGTAATACCGCCGCCGCCACCGGATGAAACGGACGGGCAGGAGAGCCGTGTTTGGGGCAGTGCGGCCTCCGAGACGACACCAAGTCACGGAGGTCATCGGAGAGTTCCGCAGGACACTGAAGGCCGCCGTCAGAACACTGGCAGCCAGACGCCGGGAACTGCAGGTGAGCATGGCGAACTCGCCCTTTTGAATCTCGCGCGAAAAACCCAGAGCGTTCAAATCGATGACGATGGTTCGACGACCTCACCGAGTTCAGCGTACTCGCTCAGGACACGTGCTTCTACAAATCAGTTAAGTTTGCTTTATTAAAAAAAAAAAAACTATATTGTACACTTTTTGTGGAGAACTACTCGTGGGACCGCTCGAGGAGCGCCGATTAAGGCCCGTCGCAGTCGGGTTAACGCGGGGACTTCAAAACGGCGTCAGCCGACACCTGATGTCAGTTGGTTCGTGGCCTCTAACGTACAAGAAACATGAGAGCTGTTTTGTTACATCTTGTTTAGTGGGCGATAGAAAAATGGGACTTTGTGAGCAATGTTTAATTGTGCTTATTAGCAGGGGAGTGCAAGAATTGGTGTGGGGGCGAAGGTTCATCATATCCCCCCCCCCCCCTTCCGAATAGTTTTCGAATAGGGGAACCAAAAGTTTAGGGCACCAAACCCCTTTACGTATGCACGCTTTGGGTCAAGCAGGAGCGAAGAGTTTTCGAATAGGGTCTGCGGCGCTTAGGGATGCTCTCCCAATTATTGGTTATGTCACTTTAGTAGGTGCCATCACTTTTGTCTGACGCAAAACTTATGCGGCAGGCTTTGGGGCTCCCGTTAAATTTCAGGAATACGGTCCCCAACCTAAAACCCGGTTTAGGTTTCGCGCATGCACAGTGGCCTTGACGCTGTTTCTCTGGGGCTTCTATTCGAAAACTCCCTAATGTATGAAGCTGGCTCTGTCCCCCCCCCCCCCCCCTCCCGTGCGCACGCTTATGGCTGCACACATTTCTGAACATTCCACATACGGCTGCTGGATACAAACGCTCATAGTGCCCGCTTGTATCCAGCGGCCGTGACAAATTTTGCTTTTCATTGCCACATGTCGTGAGCACGGGACAAAAAAAAAAAAAAAGAGGGGAGGGGGGAAGCAGCCAGCCCAGACACCAAAACGCTAAAGGAGGGCCACAAAACAGCAGCGTGCCTTTACTCGGTTGGACTCCTTCGGTTGCTGTTTAAACCTTATCCCCACCAAGTGTTTGGAGCCAAGGACAATACATTTCATACGCAAGCCTGCATTTAATTATGTTTGTTGAAGTCCATAAGAACTCTGCAAAGTGAACCGGAGTAGCCTCATCGTATGGATGAGCTCCGCTAGTCTTCGCAGTAGGAAAAGGGATACCCCGCAGGGTTATTGTCATGGCGCTTCTAAACAGTGACGGCCAGGCAGCCTTTATGTAGCGTTTTAAGGACTCTTTTGCCTGTTTTGAACACTGCAACAAGGCAAGGCAGCTATGCTGTTGAGATCAGCACGTCATTGCTTCACTTCTTCGTGCATCTATTGCGGATCTTGCTTCGTCACATTCAAACACGTTCAAGGCGGTAAAGAGAGTTGAGGGAGGCACTACACACGCTTTCCTATGAAGAACCATGTGCGCCCCTATAGGCAAGTGATTGGATGCATCCCTTATGCTCTTCAGATTAGCCTCAACACAGCCTTGTGTGGCAACTAGTTACTGTAGTAACACATTACTAGTAACTAGTACTTTTACCTTAAAGGAACTCTAACTCTGTTCCTTTTTTACATGGCAACCATGACGGGAAATACGAATCGTCACTTTAGTATTTGTTAAAAATGATCTAACAGAAGCAAAGGCCGATGTTAAAGCGCTTTCCACTACGAACTTTCTTCTTTACCATAGCCTTTCAACTTCCCACAATAGGACTACCCTTCAAGTTTAAGAGAGGAGGCCGCTGAACTGGAAGGATAATCCACCCTACAGAAGACAGAGGTTGGAGGTTTGTCTTTCAGTATTTGTTAAAAATGATCTAACAGCAGCACTCGTTAAAGGCTGATGTTAAACGCTTTCTACTTTAAACTTTCTTCTTTATTATACCCTTTCAACTTCTCACAATAGGGCTACCCTTGCAGTTTAAGAAGGGAGGTCGCTGAACTGCAAGGATTATCTACCCTGTAGAAGACAGAGGTTGGTCTCTAATGAAACTGTGAGTTTACTTGTAAAGCACACTGACGTAATGTGTTCCAATTATATAGCCTGTTAAGTTCATGTCCATATGTTTTCTCCCGTTATATGCTGGGTCTTTCATGACATCGGTACAAAATCCTTAAAATCTGGGGGTAAAATTCAATATCTGTTTGATGCTTTCAGAATTAATTCTTCCATAGCCTCGGGCATCTTAAGACTGCTAGAGAGAATATTTAGGGCAGTAGTAATATAGTACGTTAAATTACCTTTTTGATTGGTTGAGTTGTACAGTTGTGTCAAGTTGGAAAAATTTAAGTTCTTCGCGTAAGGTACCCATTCCAACTCCGGCATTTGGGTTTATGAAAAAAAAAAAGCAGCCCCTAGTATTAATTCTGAAGTTACGAAATTCAGCGGTAAAACATAGATGAGCAAAACCGCCATAATATTCAGGGACATGCAAAATAAGTGAGCATCATTATATCAACAGACTGTGTGCGTATGCAGGCTGTGTTTGCAATTGCTGCTGTCATTTCAGTGCATAATCTGCTTCTACTATCACAAGTCCTTATCGATTCTACAAAATGATGTGCACATGATTGATGGTCTCGGGCATTCTTCTAAGGTTCTTTCGTCTAGGGTTTTCCCTTGTGCAATCCCAACTATCCGAATGCCTTCATATGTTCTAAATGGATAAGTTCTGTCACTTTTTTTGTGAAGCAAATAGATTCCGTGCAAAGCAGTCGACAAGCTGCTTCTTCTGTCGCATTTATTTTGGCTCGAGATAGGTTTTTTGGAAATAGCAAAGTTTGCTGAAAGTGTATCGATTTCTTCTGCAGAGAAGATGTGCCCACAGGTCGTGTTGGAGAGTGATGTGGCCAGGGAAGAGCGCCTCAGCTGTGTCGAGTCCACCAGTAAGCAACTGCCCAGGTCGGCTCACAGCGGCGACGTCGCCCCTCTGGACAACTGCCAGTGGAGTGTGCATTCTGCCGCCGTCTCGGCGAGACTCGATCGTTTGCACGTACGCACATACTGCGTGACCCCCTGACCAATGCCGTGGTGTGCCCGATCCTGCGCGATTATCGGTGCGAGATATGCGGTGCCACTGGTGATAAGAGCCACACGCGATCTTACTGCCCCATGAGGCCAGAGGGCACGTATAACATGGCGCTTCTCAAGAGCACTCCCCGCAATAGCACGAGCAAGAGAAAGAAATGACTTTATGGCTCTGTTCACGGGCTGCTGTGTGACGTGTTTTTTGTTCATCATGATTTACACTTTATACATTAGCATTTATTTTCCTAATCACTTTATTACAACCCAAGTCTTTCCATCACCACTGACTGGATTTTGATCTCTCAATTTACTCTATATTGTATTTACCATTCATTCCAGTACAATCTTCCAGTTACCTTAACAGTGTTATGTATATGTGCCCTATGTGCCCATGCTCTCCGACACTTCTATTTTTTGTTGAGAACACCAGCACAAAATTTTGGAAAACGTAGACAAATAAAGATGAACACAATAGAGACCAATGCGTTTTCTGCATATTTGATTGCCTGTCCATATTTTCTTGAACTTTGCACTGACATTTTCAAAATCATGTCCAGCTAACTAGCCCATCACTATCACTTAAACAAGTTCACTCCTTTTTGAATTTCATACAGTAATGTATGTAATGTGACAGTAATGATTATGCCATGGAATCTTTGCCATCTGCCACAGGCAGCTGTATCCCAACTTTGCTTTATTTTGGACCAATGGTAAAGTGAATGCCATGCACCACTTTATGCAAGAAATGCCTAAACTTTTAACCCCTATTCCACTAGTCTCGTTTCTTTTTCCTCACAGGGTCTAGTATTCCTCGCAACCAACGTGTTCAGTGAGCAAATAACAGGCTTGCGGTAGGTGCAAAACAAAATTTAAGAAATGGAAGTGTGCTCACATTGGCTGCAATTCTCATGTGTGAATATTAACCCTCAAATGACTGCTTACGAAAATGACATTTCGTCATGAATTTCTCGACGACAGTTCCTTAAGGAAAGTATCAGTAGCTGCGCTGCGATAATTTAGTTTTAACGGTGGGTCAACTGAAACTTCCCTATCATCCACTTATAAGAGGTTCTGACCAGGTGACGTAAAATTAGTTTCGATTCCACAATGATTTGTAAAATATGGAGATAGCAGTCAATTATATCATTAACCAGGAAACTGCATAAATATTGGTGTTGAAACCTGGTCGGAACTTCAGTTTTGCAACCGTGACTGTTGGCATATTTACAATTGTGCCTTGGCATATGTTTGCATAATCTCTTATACCACTAACATTTTTATCACCACCAAATATATTTTGATCTCGCAGTTTACTTACAGGTTCTTGTAAATCTGCTAAGTGTTCCAAGGGAAAAATTTTCGATTCCTTCACATTGTGAAATCGAAGTTATGATCACAAGTGCTTTGTATTTAGAACAATTTGGCTAGTCTTCACAAGATGTTTCGACCAGTTCACACCAGCCATATTTACAATTCTGAAGGGCAAGCGTCTACGAAAAGAGAAATGTATTGTAAACCAAAACAGCGTGGTTCACCAGGAACTTTGCGACTGTGAATTGGGTTTGACATAAGCAACGACAAATGACCAAAAATGCTTTACACCGGTGTCCAAAGTAAGCTGTACTCAAGCGTTCCTCCACCACGTTGCTGTTAAAATGAGAATATTGCCGACAGTGTGAAACCTCCCTATAAAGGTTGATGTCAAACCATACACATCAGTCGCATCTCGTGATCACTATGAGTGCTAGCCAAGTCATGTTATACGTTCAGTTGTTGCAGAGCTGTGCCTAGTACACATTAGGTTTAGCTAACAGTACCATTTCATGAAAGATGGCTGAAACAGAAATGCTGATTACAAGGTCTGATTCTCTGCATAAAAACCCAAGACCAACTATGACTTGCATTTTCTCGGTTATCTGAGCAGGTCTGTACTCAGTTGTACACTTGTATCATCCAGGTCTGTTCATTAATAACTTCCATCGCACAGTTTCATATGGAAGCTCTGAGATTTATAAAGTCGGTGATATTAATAAAGACCAGAATCATGTGTCCATTTCATCATTAACCTTTTATTGTTTTTTGACTGCACCGAAGCAGTGGCAGCATAACTTTGTCAAGTCTGTCACAAGCCTTCATCAAATAATTTACCCATTGGCACTTGTCAAGCAAGAGTCCACACGCTATAACACATGTTCACTTAATGACAAAAGGATGCAAAAGCTTCTCCGAAGAACTGGAATGTGATGACACACACCCTTGGGAAAACTCGTTAACAGTACCGAATTCATGCCTGCTACAGTGGAACCTCGCAAATATGCAAATGTTTTGACAGCCCAGACAAAAAGTCGGAACGGAGTCTATAATAACATTGTGCTCAACTAGTTTGTATGCAAAGCATTTACCGGCCTTGAAAATAATTGCAGGGTTCCACTGTAGAGAGATCAGACGGCTCAACTTTGGTAATCTCCAAGTTTTTTTGGCATTCTGGCAAACCACGAGCAATTATGCAAACTAAATACTTGTGAACTTGCAATGCACCCGCAATGTGGCCTTGAGAGAATAGGCGCAGTAATGTGTGTGCCTGCTTGAAAAACGAAGAAGTCGTTATGATAATCATATGTTTTGATGCCCGATGGCAATCTACACTTGTACCGCACGTTACTGCGATATTATCCGTTTTATTGTAAAGCATGTATACAGGACGCGTGTGTTTGTAAAACATGAAAGTTACTTTCACTGCATTTCCAAGCAGAGGAAGTTTTCACAATATACCCAAGCAGATGGGTAACTGTTTGGTAGAACACTGGCTTGTAAAAAAAAAAAGCAACCCAGGTTCTGTCCTCACCTAGGCTTAAAATTTTTTTATTTGATTTGCATCTTTCTTGACTTTTCGTCAACGCACAAGATTTTTTTTTGCTCACTACCAAGAGCGCAGACGCCAGAATTCCTGCAAAAAGAGCTCTTCAATGCTTTCGCGTTGAAAGCTTATGAGGCAGTGAGAATAGATAGGATTGTCACTTGCAAGACACCTCTAATCTTGTTTTGCAGTTAGAGGGGTGCTATTAGGACAAGATTTTCGGCAGCCCATGTAGCTACCTCATCTGCATATGTGACTGCAATGGCTCAGCGAGAATTCTGGCCTCCCAAATTCAAAGATGCAGGCACAGTGCACCAGGCTACAGCAGCTAAAATCAAATGCAACATGCGGGCAACGCCTCGAGAGCCAAAAATTTGCGCCAGGGCACAGCAAGCCCGATGTCGTGCGGCCAGGCCAGAATCGGAAGCTTCCGACCAAGTAGACCCAAAACTAGCTCGCCACAGACATTCCAAACCTAACCATTTTTTAAACTTCCACAGCAATTCTGTGGGTGTCAGGTGTACGTTCATACTAATTCTATCTCAAACAATTTGTTAGATGCTAAGCATATCAAACTGAGTTTAATTCGGAGTGTGGCATGACCCTCCTTACTGCGCATGCACCTTCCCCTCCCCCCCCCCCTTTCTCAGTCCCAACAGGGCATGCTTGCTTACCCTCGCTCACCCCTCACTCTCTAGGCATCCCTCCCTGTTGCGTTTACACTCCAATTGTAAATTCGCATCCCCTCCCCCTATCTCCTCTTACAATGCCCTGCAGGCAGTGTCTGCTGGCGAGTTTGTTTAGAAAAGACTGTTTGCACTACACAATCCTTCACTGGCCACTTTGTTACACAGTCCCCGGGTCTTGACCTTGTTGGTGGGATATTTCTCCTGTGCGTTGTTGAAGAATAAAAATTCGCAGCATGCGCATTAACTAAAAAGCAGACTGCGGTTCTCTGTTTCTCTTTGCCCATTAGCAGCGATTGGCATGTTTTAGTAGGGAACACCGGTCCATCACTGCGTGCTTTGCACCTCCCCAGGTTTCTCTTCCGCGCAACGCCGCGTTTACCACCAGCATCAACACCATCACTAGTGCAAGCAATAGCGCTCGCTGCTTTGCATCTACACATGGTTTCTTTTAGCAGGAGACTGTGTAATTTTTTTTTTATGTTGATCCCTGTGCTGTGTGGCAATGAACACAACTGTATCTAATGGTAGACTATGTTCTAAATTGCATCTTTGAAGTGTCAGCACATCAAACTTGGTAGGGTACTGTTATTCACTGGCGTCTTCCCATTAAAAACCACACTACAATTACGAACCTCTGAGCAGTTACTTTTAGAACACCCATCCATGTCAATGCATTAACCAGTGAAGGCTTTTTCATAATGTCAACCGTCTGAATACCATCTACGACGATTTCACTGCATCAATCATATTGACAATAAATACAATAAAAGTGATGCTTCATTGGTCGAGCAGACACCAGTTAAAGAGTACGAGATCGTCATTACTGAACTAGTTCACACACTAATGAAGATGCAACACTGATTGTGCATATAAAGGAGCTAGGGTAGTCAGTCTACACACAAACAGCTGTCCTTGGTTGTCCAGGAAGTAATTCTGAGAAGATGTGCATGGGTGACAATGATAATGAGCACTGGGACTAGCATCAATAGAGTTACAAACTCTCTACCCTTAGAAAGCTTGTGACATCAACAATCGGTTCAGAAACCACACAAGTTGGGATGCTCAACGCGCCAAACTGGTGTGCACATAGGCACGCGCAGGGTTGGGGGTTAGTCGCAGTGCCCCCTTCCCTATTATGTCAATGTATAGAGCCGACTCCTGCCCCTCGTCGCAGCACCCGTCAATCTATCAGAGAGTAATAGCCGAGCGACTGGGCGAATAAGCAGTGACTGAAAGTGCGCATGCACGACATGCTAAACGAGCCACTCACTCGCTCCATACCAGCATGCGAGCATTCTCCAAGCAAAGCCTCTGCTCGATCGACAGTATAGCTTCAACAGTGTTCAACAGATGGCACAGAATGCAGTGCACTCCCCTGAAACAAGTAGAGGGAGCACTCGCTCGGCTATTCTTCCTGTCGTCTTGTGCTTCACTTGCCCCTGGGCCCGCTCGGCTATCACTCTCTATTATGTCAATGTATGGGGCTAGCTTTGCATCCACCCCGTCATGTTACTAGGGTGCGTGCCATCCTCTCTACCCCCCTCGTGCACACGCCTATGGGTGTTTACCAACCGCCAGAGATCTTGGCACAAGGAAAATAGGTGGCAGCATACACAGTGGTTGCATTGAATGACGCCGCCTTTACAGGAACTAGTACCTGCGTGCATTTATAGAACATATTTACACTTGTCTAACTACTGTTAGATTCATGTTGTGAACCTTGCATACAATAAACATGAAATAATGCACACACACAGCACACCACCTTCACCTGAATGCTACTCTGGAAATAGATTATAATATAAACACTTAGAAAACATGAACATGTCTGCATTCTCGGACAACACACTTGCTTGAAACAACTCAATGATGCATGAGAAGCTTGTTTTAGTTCTTATGAAATAAATTAAAAGAATGTCATGAACGGATTCACATTACTTGAGTTCCGAGGAAGCAGCACTAATCTCAGAAGAGGAGTTCAAAGGTTCGTTCAAAGTCACCGACAAAATTTCCTCGGGATTGTCCACACTGAGGTCCCCCAATTGTGCATCTAGGAGCGAACCCTGTTGGTCCACAAACAACATGCTAGACGAGTCGTCCAGACTGGAGTGTGACTGGAGGGCCTGGATCTGGGACAGTGAGAGCCCCTGATGCCTGCATCTGAACTACGAGGTAACGATCGTCGGGGTCTGTAGGATCAAGCTGTGAGTCCGTCGAAACATAGGTGTCGTCGAGGCCGAGTTGCACCGAGTCGACCAACATCTGCCCTGCACTGCTAGATGTCTTGCGAGGTCTGTAGGGAGCCTTAGCTGTGGCGTTCTCGCCGTGGTGTTTCTCGTGGTGCTCCTTGAGCTTATCGCGCCGCGAGCTGGTGTAGTCACACTCCAGACACTTGAACGGCTTGTCATCGAGGTGTATCCGCTCATGCCGAACGAGGTGGCTGCGCTCAATGAAGGCACGCCCACACACGGCGCACACGTGCGACCGCACCGCCGTGTGCGTCCGCATGTGGGCTTCCAGCTGGCTGCGTTTCGGAGAGACGTACGTGCAACCCGCAAACTGGCAACGAAAGACATTTCCAGTGTGCAGGCGTCTATGGGAGAGCAGGTGGGACTGGTACTTGGCCGTGAAGCCACACACATCACAGAGATAAGGTCGGTCGTCACGGTGGCTTTGCAGGTGCTGTTCCAGAGTGCACTTGAGTGCGAAGGCACGGCCGCACAGGTCGCACGCGAATGGACGCTCACCGGTGTGACAGCGCATGTGGGCCACCAGGTTGGTCTTCTGCCGACACCGGTAGTCGCATACGCCGCACTGGTACGGCCTCTCGTCCGTGTGCCTCATCCGGTGTAGGAGTAGCAGCTGTATCCGCTCGCACTTGTACGCGCAAGAGTCACACTGGAACGGCCCCTCGCCGTTGCTGCTGAAATGGTGCTTCATGTGGGTGTAATACTCGCGATTCCACTTGCACGTGTATGTGCACAGGGGACAGGCATACGTCTTGCCCTTGCCGTGTGCCTTGGCGACGTGCTGTTCCAGTCTGGCCGCGCCGTAGCTGACGTAGCTGCAGTGCTCGCACTTGACACCTGCTTTCCAAACGGAGGATGACAGCTTTGGTGTTTGTCCATTACTCGAGTCGTCCGTAGTGGCCTCGGGCTCGGAGGTCTTTGCAGCTTCTGCATCTTTCTTCCCAACTAGCAGGTTTCGGAGGAATGTGGTGTTTTTCATCGCTCTCGCCTTCCGTGCTGTTCTCGTCATCAACAGCTGCCTGCTGTTGACGAAGGTGGATCTTGTCTCCCCCTGTAGTTAAAGCAACCATAGAAGGAGGATATAATAAAATCATAATAGCAGATGCAGTTATGGCACCTCTCTATGCAATTGGCTGCAGCAGTGCAGTCAATGACACTTGCATAAGCAGTGATGCAATAATTAATTACTGCTCTAGACAAGTCCTAGACTACTTTTTGCCTTTGTAATGCATACTTTACTTGCATTAAGTTTAAGTGGTACACTAACATTTCTGCATTTTGCGACTTGTTAGGATTTGTACTAAGCCTGCAATGTCATGCTTGGTGGTGTATAGTCAGTGTACTATGGCGGCAAGTGTTGTGAATGCTACTGGTATTATAAGTCCTCTACATAACCTGCCAGTGCACTTCCTTGTGGAAAAAAGATAACTTGCTGCTCACAAGAAGCAAAATGTGTTTTGCATGTTGTTTTGTTGCAGCAGAGCTATTAGGCTTCGTTGGAAACTGTTCATCGTTAAGAAGTGCAGAAGAATACACACGGGACAGGCACCTGAGTCTCTATCGCGCTTCTCAAGAATGAGTCCTTTTGTTTCCTGTTGTCTTTCAAACAGTGTGTGCGAGCAAATGCTAGAGTGATCAAAGAATACACACAATTGCATAGCACGGGAACCACTCACCCATCTCCAGCGTGTTCTCACTGCCGTCATCTTCGTCCAGCAGCTCGCCACAGTCATCTGAGGACAGCGTGTCCTCGTCGTCCTCTTCCTCCGCGGCCGACCTCAGAGCACCAGGTGAGCCCCGTGCCTCCCCCGACATCTCCGCGCACAGAGCTTCGATGGCTGCAGAGACGGCAAGGTTCATGAAACTCTCCCAGTCACTCTCGGGCCCCTGCGAGAACTCCAGCCGCAGCTGTTCCCGCTTCTCCACACTACTGCACTTGGGTGCCTCCACCATGTTACTGTCTAGCTGTCTCGAGCAGAAAATGGAGGCACCGACGACTGAGCTTAAACACGGGGTCGCGGCTTAGGCACTGAGACAACGTGTTCTGGTCAACAACTGCCCAGTCAACATACGTGAGGAGGAGACGAAGCCAGCCTTCTCGCTCTTCCAGGTCATGTGAGACCCAGCGCGTCACTAGGTTGAGCAGTGGAGCACCTTGCGGCAGACAGAGTCTTCTATCGGAGATGAAGGCCACAAACCGCTCCCTGTCAAGACGGAGTAGCCTGGGGTCATTGAGGACGTCTTCCACATTCTCACTTACGAAACTTGCCACAGCCTTGAGCAGCGTAGGAACATTGTTGGCTTCTGCCATCTCACGGATGGTGAGGCAGTTGGCCAGATTGAGGTTGTGCTCCAGGTATTCGGCACAGTAGTTTTTCAGCTTGAAGACGAGAAAGTGGTTGGAGAGCTGCAGAAGTTCGGCGACGTTACCCCGGTGGACGCTGACGCAGCCAGAGTACATGTACCGCAGGAACGACTGGAAGGCGGACTGGTTTCGGCAGGAGATGCTGAGGTGCTCCACTGCCACTTTCTGCATTCTCAGGATCGAGTCGAAATACGGGCTGCTGGCGGCCAGAACGCTGCGGTGCGCCCGATACTGGCGGCCGTCCACGTGCAAGACGACATCGCAGAAGCGCCCCCTCTCCTGCTGCTGCCTCAGTTTGTGCATTACGAAGCTGCAATGGGCGTTTTCGGCGAAGTTCATGACACTGCCGCTGGCAAAGCCCGCGCGAGGCGCCATTTGGGGCCCTTCCCTTAGACACTGCGATCGTTCCCCGTCATGCTGGAAACGTTCGATCACTCGATGGCGGCGAACTACTACATAGTGCCACTACATAGAAGCGTGACTCAAGCGTCGGTCTCGCATCAGGTTTCAGTGAACTATCACTCTCGTAGCGAGCGCAATCTAAGCGATCGCAGGAGGGTAGAGGTGTTGAGACTAGCATGCGCATCGGATGACACCGTCCACAGTCGGAGTCCGGCGAAACAAAAAGGAACGAAAAACAAATCAGTGCAAGCTTCGTAAGCGTACCTTGACTATCGCACTGCGGCACATTTCTGGCAAGGGTGCCGATTGCATAGTCGAGCACGGTTTCGTCGACCCCACGGGGTGTGATAACGAATCGGCTATCGGGCACTAGCGATCAGTGCGAAGTGACTAGCGGTTCGATAATATTGGAGAAGGCAAATTACGAGTAAACAGTCGAAGCTGACAGTCTTACCGACAGAACGAAACAAAAATATAACGGGCGGAGGAGCTGGTGGCGGCGGCTGTGTACATTGACGCAACGATTGAGGGAACCCGACGGCACTTGCTCGCACAGTTATTAATTAGGCCTAGGGACGAGTCGGAGCCCGTAAGAGTCTTCATCCCCGGCTGCGACATCTGACGGAAGCAAACGAGCAGCATTTGCTCTGAATTAACTCCACGCAGTGAAGAATAAACACAAAAACATAATGAAACTCCCGATTTAGAGCAAGGTGAATACACGGAACGGATAACGAAGTCGTGCAACGCGCCGACGGGGATTTACTGATCCTCAGTTAGCAGGGAAGCCAAGCCACGGGAGAATGATGGTGTTGCCATGGTTACGAGAAACCGTAGGACGCAGGAGATCTCGTTTTGTACGCCGTTTTTATTCAAAGCGTAGCGAACGATCAACGTAACCCAGATCACCAAACGGCATGAAAATGCGGATATCGGGGAATGCAAAACACAACAAATGATGTCTCCAGAAACACGCTGACGCTTTGATACGATGAACACCACATGGACACCCACAGGTGGGGCTGCTTTAAATTGAAGAGATAACTTTTATCTCTCACGGTTTACTTCATGTCACAAGTAACTTTTGCTGACGTAGCAAGGACGTGATTTTATTGCATTTGATCGCGGGTTACACGGCTGTCAAAACGTTTCCGTTTGACGCATCGCGGCAATGATGCCTAACAGGTGACGTTTACTTCAACTGACAAATATGAAAAGTCCTATTCAACTATCTACGACTTCTACTTTATCAGTACTTGAAGCTACTACTGCAAACCAGCTCTGCGAATAAGTCGCTACGAGTCGCAAACACCGGTACTGTTGACTATGACTTTGGTATTAATGGCGGATCACAAAACTTAGCCGGCGACTTGAACCAAGCAAGCAGTGATCGCCGCTATAGTTACGTTGAGCACAATAGACACCGTAACAACTTGAGATAACAAACTGCTAAGCTTGAGTCACAAGGAGTAGGAAGTGCTTACCGCTGACACCTTCGGGAGCAACACATCCGAACCGTTGCAGATGGTGAAGCGACGCTCAGGCCCGAACAAAGGGCATTATCGGCACTCGCCCAAGTTGGAAAGCGACTTAGCTGTGCATCCGAGAGCCGTCAACACGTTCTACGCTTTTCTAAACGTTAACAGCTGACAATCGGATCAGTTCCGTTGGCTATCTTTTGGTGTGTTTCTCTGCTGGGAACGCTAATTTTTAAAACAAGACAGGAAACAACGCACGCTCGCATGCGGCGGCAGCAGCGGCTTTCTATGGTAGGGGAGAGAAAGTGGAGGCGCAGGTGAGGAGGTTCGAAAAAAGGCGAAGAGGCGTGGCGGAGAGAGAAATGAATGAGCGAGGATGAGAGGCCAGACCACCTTTTTTTTTTTTCTACTTCTCCCTTTCGTCGCGTCGGAGGCGAGCGCATTTTGCGGAGCACCGGTCGTTGCAGTGCGATGGTGGACCTCCCGAGCTTTGACCAGGCCAGTGAGGACCCCAGAAGCGGTCATTAACCTTGCAGCGCGAAACCTCGCGCTTTTCTCCGCCGTGTGAACCCAAGTTTCGTGCGCGCCAGGAAACATCCCGTAAAGCCGGCTGACCGGACTCGTTCTGGAGGAGCGAAAAAAAAAACCGACGCAACATGGCCGACGTCGTGGAGTCAACTCGCTTCGAAGTGGAGCTCCAAGATTCGGCCGGCCTGCTTTCCAAGCAGGCTGGTTCACCCTACATCAGGGACCGTAAGGCCATCGACGGTACGAGCAAACCCAGGGTAAGCAACCGTCGGTTCCCCCGACGGAGCGTTGCTGGTTGGAAACTCGGACAACGTGCGTGGCGGCCGCCGTGAAACAGCCTTGCACGCTCGCTCGCTGGTCCTTCAACGTGTGTGTGTGTTGTGCGTTTGTATTTCGCCGTCCGTCATAAGTCCGTGGCTCCCAGGTTTCTGGGCCAGCGACGAGCGCGTTCCTTTGACGGGCGGCAGTGTGGTTTCGCCGCAGTTTCGACTCCCCCACTCGTTTTGCGATGCGTGCAACGTAGCGATGCGTCAAAAACCCGTCAGGAAGTATGAATGACAACCGCCTTTATAAAGCGTGGCTGGCCTGTTCGCGAAAACTTGTGTGGTGCTGTGTGTGTCGAGGTGCCTGGCCCCAGTGCGCGATGTTTTTCGTCGGAATTGCGTGCGTATGGTACGCGGCGTGTTGGCCGCCGTTCCTATGAGCCATACGAAGCGGCCTGCATTGCATCCCGTCTGATTAGCGGTCACTTTGAAATAGGGTACGCCAGTGTGTTTCTTGCACAACGACGTCTAGTCTGCGGTCCGCTTTGAAACCGAGTGCGCCTGTGAGAAAAGGCTCCTCGACATCACCACGTTGTAGATAAAGACGAGGGGGTGCGAGGTTGAGACGCTGCTGGAGATGCATTAGCGAGTCGCCGAGACATGGTGAGATAATTTATTCCTTTGTTCACACGAGCGAGAAGCTTGTGCGCATCAATTTCTTTTTGTATCTGGTATTTTTCACCCTCCATCGGATGATCAAGTTGCGACACCCCCTTGACACGTAATAAAAAAAGCTGTTGCTCAAACTGCCGGCTCCTTCTTGCGCTTTCTATTTCTACACCCCTCTATTGCGCCATGTAGACTTTAGCTTTTTCTTCCAACTCTTATCGTACCAGTCGCGGCGACATGTTGCAAAAGTGGGATGCGTCGAATGTTCGCCACGGCGCTCCCTGTTAGTGTTTTGTTTCCCCGCCCCCTCGTATTAAAAAAAAAAAATAGCTGTCAGCAATAATGTACGGGTGGGAAACGTATACCCGCGCCAGGCGCTTTATTGGTGTGTCGTCTACTACGATGTTTTCGATTTGCGACCGTTTCCTGAAAGATTGCCGGTGTTTTGCACGCGGCAATAAAATTCGAGGGCAATGAATGCACAAGGCCGTAGCACCTGCGCAATGTAAGTGCGCTCAGATGTGCCTGGCACGGGCTTCCGCCAGGCACTTGTTCTTTTCACTACAGATATATCCATACATTCGTAGAATTGCGTTAGAGCATTCGACCATGCAGCAGCACAACTCAAGTTATTATTGCACACGCCCTTTTCGTAAAATATACCCCAGACACAATTTCTTCACTAATGAAAGTGAAGTACGACAGAAGCCAGCGTCATGTTGCCGAAACTCTTCCGACGAAACACGCGACGATCAGAGACTGCCCTGAGGCCGTTAATTGGCAGATTCGATCAGTTACTAAATCGGGAACGTTGTTGCTCTACGAGCGACGTCCTGCCAGATGTAGTTTGAATCTGAGTTAAACCTGTTGCACGAAGGGAGCTCGGATGGCGCCACCGTAAACTCAAGAGTCCGTGTTGTGGCGAGACTCGCAAGGGTATTTAAAAAAACACACATAGCGCTGTCGGAAGTCTTTCGCAATAATTAAACAACACACAGCCGACATTATGCTCCTGTTTAGCGTTCATTGAACTAAAACATAATGTGAAATGGAACTTAGAAGTGTGGCAGCTTGGGCTAGTTGGTATGGCATGACGATAGTTATAGCGCGAGAAAAAAACGATGACACAGAGACAAGTGTCTTTCGTGTCCTTCTTGTCTCTGTGTCGTCGTTTTGTTCTCGCACTATAACTATCGTCGTGAAATGGACCTTTGTTATAACTCTTTATAGCTATTTTAGTTTTCAAGGTACAGATTTTTATTCCTTAATTGCTTAATAAAACTGTGCTTGTACCTCGTTTGCGTAATGGAAGCAGGCAATGCGATTCTTTCCGTTTTCCATCCATATTTGCAAACGAGATAAAGGAAAGAAAACGAATATATCGGAAACGTGCTAAACAGAAACAAAGGTACAGTGCGAAGGATTTGACGAACATGCGCACTTAGCTTGGCTGGTGGCTATCTGTGGATTCTATTTATTTATTTTTGCGCTGTTGGCAATTACGCTAGAAGCGTGTCTGGCAGCTTGAAGTGCGGTTGCCTTACGTAACGTTGCATTACGTGCCCGCAGTTCGCCGGTGGTCCATTAGCGTTTATGTGGCGGACTTATAGGGACCGTGTTACAAGACACACTGGGAGTATAGGAGCGCCGGCGCGTTGTCATGGTTACAGTGCGACCCCAAGGAAAGGAATAGCCCACTCGAGGATGGTAGGCGATCAGGCGGTGTGATTTTGGGTGAAACCAGCAAATTTGCAGGTATGGGATCGAGAAAGGTGAACGAAGTGCGGTAGTTCAACGAAACTTCTATGCGGCAGCTGTGACGCAAACATTTGCCCCATACTAAGACATGACATTTTCGTGTGAAAAGGTAAAGTGTTTTTGTCTTTCTAACAAAAGTGCTAGATCAATTGTAAAACAAGAGGTTGTTCTTCCCCACGACAGTATCGCAACGGGATCAGTATTGGCAGCGTGATCTCTGATACAATATGCGAAGACTTCGAGGTTTCTGCAGCTGGCTGCTCTAAAACGAGAACTCGAAAATACACCGAACGCAAGACTAGATTTCAATCTCCTAGCACAAATTGAAAGGGGGTTGCCTCCGCCGCCAAGAAATGGCTGCAACAACTCCTTAATTTGTTGGCATTTCAATAATGATAATAATTAAAGAAAGGTAACCAGTAACAACATAAGGAGGCACATTCAACAGTATCTGTGTGGGACACTTAGCCGTTTTAGAACTCGCAGGGATGCCTCGCCGAGGTGGCCTAGTGGCTAAGGTACTCGGCTGCTGACCTGCAGGTCGCGGGTTCGTAATCCCGGCTGCGGCGGCTGCATTTCCGATAGAGGCGGAAGTGTCGTAGGCCCGTGTGCTCAGATTTGAGTGCACGCTTAAAGAGCCCCAGGTGGTCGAAATTTCTGAAGCCCTCCACTATGGCGTCTCTCATAATCATAGGGTGGTTTTGGGACGTTAAACCCCACAAATAATCAAATCAACTCGTAGGGATTGCGAGAGAATCGCTACTTTTTCTTCGCTGTCGGCTTAGCGTTTTGTCGTGCCCGTAGTGAGATGACAAAGGTCTGGCTTCACTTCCGGGACGTTATTTCCACTCGAGCATTCTTTTAAAGCTTCTCGCAGCGGGACTAATTTTTATCGAAGAAAAGGCGGAGCTACACGTTGCCGATCGAAGCTCATTCCACAAATGAGAATTCGCATATCAGAAATACAGTACTCGTGGAGTAAGAAGTCCGTGAGTACTGTAATGTCGATACGCGAATGCTCAACTGTGAATGGGCTTTGATAGCGTGCACCATCGTCAGCGTGTTCGTGCGGCCATGACGACGAGAATGGTTATGACCTGTTGCTCGACTGTCCGAAATACGGCACACACGTTTTTTGTTTCTTTTTTTGCTGCAGAAAATACTAGGCCCATGGGGCACTCTAGAATAAACCTGAAATTGGCGAAAATGCTCCAACGGCTTTCTTTTCTTTTTTTTTAGAGCGAAAGCTGTTATGAGACCACAACACGGGTTGCTTGCGCGCCGTATAGTTTTCTGACGCCGCAGTTGTCGGTAACCGCTATAGCATATAGCGTAACCACTATAGGTAACCACTATAGCGTTTTTTTAGCGAAGGAACAACCTAGCTGGTTCCCTACGCGAAAAACCAATCTAACTGTTTTTGAAAGAACTGCCTAACCATATTTTGTAATGTTTTAAATGCTTTCTATGTTTCTTTGGTATTGCTTAATGTATGTTCGTTCCTTTTCCTAATGTACCCACTCCTGCTATGTCTCGTGTATCGAGACAGCAGTATCTGTAAATAAAATAAATAGCACGAAATAAAAAAAAGACAGTAAGGACACAATGGGATTCGAACCCGGGTCCTGTGTACCAGCTCAGTTATCTACGA